GAAACTGTCTCATTGCTATTTGTTTCTCAATAAAATTAATTTTTTAAAAAAGACAGAAACTCATCAAGCATCCTGGATGCCTGACTTCTTTTCCACACCTTGCTCCTCTCTATTGTTTAAACTTTGGCTCTGTCTCCACAGTGCTGCCACCAGAGCAGCACCACCATCTAACCTCATCCAAGTCAGCACGGTGGCTCCTAACTGGTCTCCTTGCTGCGAGCCATGTCCTCACAGTCTGTTCTCAGTGAATCAGTTACATCTAGTATGTCAGTTAGATCTTGTTCTCCTCTGTCCAGTGTCTATGATGAATCTGCATTTCACTCGGTGTAAAAACCAGTCTTTATAAAGCTTGTTTTTCCATTACTCTCTTCGGATAACACAGGCCATTTTACTGTTCTTTGAGCCTACGAAGGCATGTGAGAAATGTGCTTTGTATTCCATCTACATTTCGCTCAATTATTAGCATGTCTCAAAACTTTAGTTTTCTATCTACAAAATGTAAACCTCTTTCCTTCCCTTCAAGCCTCACAGGATAAAGGTGGTAGTGGTTTTGAGTCCTCCAGCCTTCTATAAGACCAAGAGTCATTGTAGTGTTTATATATGACCTCTAAACTTGCCTTGCATTCTCCAGTGATTTCTTGTTCTTTCTAGTCTTCTGTTTAGGTATGATTAATTCAGATAGTATCTGGTAAGTGACCTCCTTTATGCCCAGTACCCTTAGGATATAAGAGTAGCTAGGTCAGGGTCTCATAAAAGAATTTGCTTTCTAGAGATGTGAGATGGGGCTGTTAAAAACCAGACTGCCTAAAAACTGTAAAAAAAAAAAAAAAAGGTAATTACCTAGTATTGACTGGGAGGTAGGAGAAGTAGAAGTATAAAATGTTTTGTAGAGCTGATCTTGCATTGAATCATAAAAAAAAAAAAAAAAATGGTAGGTAGAGTTAAGTAAACAAGCAGAAGAGGGAAAATTCTCCCTGACAACACACAATTTATGCTTTGAATATATTTCCTGTATTTATGATAATTGTGATTAACTCCCTTGGGAAATGATTATTTCTTCATTTTTAGCCTCACTTTAACCACCCAAAGAGACTTCATATATTTCAAGAGTTCAGCATACTTCTTGGTTTAAGAGAAGAGAGGGGAATGGGGGAGGAAAGAAGGAAGGAAGGGAAGGGAAGAGAAGGGAAGAAGGAAGGAAAGGAAGAAAGGAAGGAAAGAAGGAAAGGAAAGAAGGAAGGAAGGAAAAAGATGAAGGGAGAGAGGGACAGAATGGAGGATCATGATTAGGAGCACAGGTACTTGGCTCTAGTTGTGGACCCAGCTCTAACACTTACCAGCTAGAGGACCTTGAAGAAGATTTACTTCTTGCTGCTT